TAGTTATTTTTTGTAGTTATAGTAAATGAGATTTAACTCTTGATATGGTTCTCGGTTTGAATGTTCTTGGTGTATAGAAATGCTACTGACTTTTTACATTGGTTTTGTATCCTGAGGTTTTACTGAAGTCATTTACCGGGTCTAGGAGTTTCTTGCAGGAGTCTTTAGGTCTTTATAGGTACATAATCATATCTTCAGAGGACAGAAATAGTTTGACTTTCTGCTTGCCAATTTGAGTACCTTTTATTTCTTTCTCTTTTCAGATGGATCTTGCTAGGATTTCCAGTATGATGTTGAATAAGAGTGGTGAGAGTGGACATCCCTGTTTTGTTCCAGTTCTGAGGGCGAATGTCTGCATATTTTCTCATTACATATTATGTTGGCTGGGCTCTTACTAATTTGAAATATGTTCCTTCAATGCCTAGTTTGTTGTGAGTTTTTATCATGAAGGGATGTTAGATTTTATCAAATACCTTTATTGCATCTATTAGGGTGATCATATGTTTTTTGTTTTTACTTGTGTTTATGTGTGTGAATTTTATCAGACACACAAAGAACTGATACTAGTCTTACTGAAACTGTTCCAAAAATCCATGGAGGAGGGATCCTCTCTAACTTATTTCATGAAACCACAATCACACTAATACCAAACTCAGACAAGGACATAAAAAATGAAAACTGCAGGCCAATATTTCTTATGAACAAAAATCCTCAACAAAATGCTAGCAGACTTAATCAATAAATTACATTTATTGATCTGTGGTTATTGAACCATCCTTGCATCCCTGGAATTAAACCCACTTGGTCATGATGGATAATTTTTTTGATATGCTGTCCAATTCAGTCTGCTAGCATTTTGTTGAGGATTTTTGTTCATAAGAAATATTGCCCTGCAGTTTTCATTTTTTATGTCTTTGCCTGATTTTGGTATTAGTGTGATAGTGATTTCATGGAGTAAGTTAGAGAGGATCCCTCCTCCATGGTTTTTTGGAACAGTTTCAGTAAGACTAGTATCAGTTCTTTGTGTGTCTGATAAAATTCAGCTGTGAATTTGTGTGGACCTGGGTCTTTTTATTTTTGGAATATTTATAATCTTGATCCATTCAGAATTTTTTTTTCTAGTTTTGTCTTGGGAGCTTTTATGTCCAAGATATTAGGCAGTTCCCCCAGGGTTTCTAGTTTGTTGTAGTAGAGGTGTTTATAGTGCTCATTGGTGATATTCTTTATTTCTTTGGTTTCGAAAGGTATTTATTCGATTCTTCTCTCTTTTTGGATAGTCTAGGTAGTGGTCTGTCAATTTTGTTTATTCTTTCGAAGAAGCAACTTTTTGATTCATTGATCCTTTGTAATTTTTTTTTTTTTTTTGGACTCAATCTCATTTAGTTGTGCTCCGATCTTTGCATTTCTTTTCTTCTGCTATCTTTGGGTTTCAATTTTCTTAATTTTTGAGTTTCTTGAGGTACAAGTTTAAGCTGTTGATTTCAGATATTTCTTTTTGATGTAGGCATTTAATACTATAAACTTTCCTTTCTGCACTGCTTTTTGCTGTATTCCAGAGGTTTTGGTATGTTATGTCTCTATTTGCATTTGTTTCAATGACATTTTTTAATTTTTGCCTTAATTTCATTGTTTTCTCAAGGGTCATTCAAGAGCCAGTTGTTCAGTTTCCATGTAATAGGGTGATTTTGAGAGTTCTTTTTAGTGGTTATTTCTAGTTTTATTCCATCGTAGTTCAAGAATATGCTTGGCATAATTTTTATATTTTTGAATCTATTGAGACTTGCTTTTTGGCCAAGCATGTGGTTGACTTTGAAGAATGTTCCATGTGGAGATGAGAAGAATGTATTTTCTGCAGTTTAGGGAGAGAATGTTTTGTAGATATCTGTTAGGTCATTTGGTCCATAGTTGAGTTTAAGTACAGTGTTTCTTTGTTGAGTTTTTTGCTTCGATGATCTGTCTAGCGATGTTAATGGGTGTTGATATTCCCCACTATTACAGTCTTATTGTAAATATGTTTTCTAAGGTCAATTCCTACTTGCTTCAGGAATTGGGGTGCTCTGGTGTTTGGCACATGTATGTTTAAGATATTTATCATTATATAATGCCCTTCTTTGTATCTTTTGTACTGTTTTTGGTTTTAAGTCTGTGTTATCTGATATGAGGATGGCTACTACTGCTCATTTCTCTCTCTCTCTCTTTTTTCCATTCACATGATACATCTTATTCCATCCCTTTACTTTGAGTCTGTATTTGCCTTGGCCAGTAGGTTGGTCTCTTGTATGCAGCAAATGGTTGGATCTTGTTTTTATTAATCCTCTCATGCTTTATCTTTTAAGTGGGATGTTTAGACTATTGACGTTTAGGGTTACTATTGATATATGAGGTTTTACTCCTGCTATAGTGTCATAAGCTACTTTGCCTTGGAATTTCAAATATGTAGTTATTTTAAAATCTATGAGCTTTGTACTCATGTGATCTTTTATGATAATGAGTACTGTCATTTCATTTCCATGTTTAGAACTCCTTTTTAGCATCTCTTTTATAGCTGGTTGGTGGTAACGCATTTCTTTAGTGTATACTGGGAAAGGACTTTATCCTTTGTTTATTAAACTTAGCAGGATATAAAATTCTTGTCTGGCAATTTTTTCTTTAAGAAGGTTAAAAAGTGGCCACCATTCTCTTTTGGCTTGTAGAGTTTCTGTGGAGAAGTCCAGTGTTGGCTTAATGTCTTTTTCTTTATAAGTGATTTGGTGTTTCTCTCTTGCTGCTCTTGGGATATTTTCTTTCATGTTGACTTTGGAAAATCTGACAATTATATGCCTTGGTGAGGTTCTTCTTGTGATGTGTCTGGCAACAATTCCTTGAGCTTTTGAATCTGGATGTCTAGATCTCTCTCAAGATGAGGGAAGTTTTCTTGTTACTTGAGTATATTTTCCATATTTTTTTACTTTTTTTGGTTCTTTTTTCCCTCTGGAATGCCTATAATTTATAGATTTGATCACCTTATTTCATATTTCTTGAAGACTCTGTTCATTCTTTTTAATTATTTTTCCTTTATTTCTGCCTGACTGAGTTAATTAGAAAGACCTGTCTTCCATATCTGAGTGTTTTTCTTCTACTTGGTTTAGTCTACTGTTTCAAAACTTTCAACTTGGCATCTCCTTGGATGAGTCTTTTCTTTTTTTTACTTTTTTCAGAGATGGGGGTCTCACTCTCTTGCCCCTGCTGGAGTACAATGGCATAATACTGGCTCACCACAGTCCTGGGCCTATGCAGTCCTTTCCCCTCTGCCTCCCAAGTAGCTGGGACTACAGGCATGCACCACCATGCCCGGCTAATTTCTTTATGAGAGGAGGTCTTACTATGCTGCCTAGGCTAATTTTCAAACTCCTGGACTCAAGTGATTCTCTTGCTTTGGCCTCTCAAAATGCTAAGATTTCAGGTATGAGCGACTACCTCTTACTTGTTTGGTGTTTTTTAAATGTTGTCTATCTTTTCTTTCATATTCCGAATTGTTCTACTGATTTTTTTTATTTTGATAATCAACTTTTTCTTGGATCTCATTGAGCTTTTAAACAACATTTTAAATTCTCTATCTGACATTTTGAGAGTTTACTCTGGTTGGGATTTGTTGTTAAAGAGTTTATATGCTCCTTTGCAGGGGTAACATTCTTTTTTTTTCACACATTCACAGTAGTTTCTTTGGTTCTTTCTTATCTGTATGAACTTTGGTGAGTAGTCTGTATAAGTGCCTTGGATATGGATAGGCTGTATACAAGGTCTGACAATTAAGTGTGAACATTGGCAGCCCTGTGCAAAACAACTCAGTAAGGCTCTATAACCTTGATATATCAGTGTCTCACAGATATGTTCGTGTTGACATGTGGCAGTGTCTTGCTGAGTGATGTTCATTATTGTTGTTGCATGTTTTGTGTGCCATCGCAAGAATGTTGGAGCTTGAATTAGAGTAATGAACAAATATTAAATTTCTTATTAAAACTGACAAGAGTGAAAGTGAAATCAGGGACGTGTTAGTCCAAGTTTATGGGGATAATGCCATGAAGAAAATGGCAGTATACAAATAGATTAAACATGTTTTTCTGAGGGGAGAGAAAGTGTCACTGATGAAGAAATGTCAGGATGGCCAGGAATGAGCAGAACTGACAAAACTATTGCAAAATTCATCAAATTGTATGTCAGAATCATCAGCTGACTGTGAGAAGCATAGCAGGCCGAATAAACATTGATAGAGAAATAGTTAGGAAAATCTTAACTGGAAAATCTTGACATGAGAAGGGTGTATGCAGAAATGGTCCTAAAGGAGCTCTTGCATCACAACAATACACCAGCTAACATAGCATTATCTATGAGGGGGTTTTTAGCTGGTAAACAAATAACTGTACCAGAACATCATCCCTACTCATGTGATCTATCCCCCAATGACTTTTTTCTTTAGCTGAAGATAAAGGAAATATTGAAAGGAAGACATTTCGATGACATTCAGTACATCAAGGGTAATACAGTGACAGCTCTGATGACCTTCCAGAAAAAGTGTTCCAAAATTGCTTTGATGGGTGGACTAGGCATTGGAATCAGTGCATAACTTTCCAAAGGGAGTACTTCGAAGGTGACCAAGGTGATATTCAGCAATGAGGTATGTAGCACTTTTTCTAAGATGAGTTCACAAACTTAATTGTCAGACCTTGTATATAAGTTTTCCTGGTTGTTGTAGTATTAATATACTGGGAATGTGGGCTGGCTCACTGCCTTCTGTGGAGCTTGGTTGGTGGGGTTCTTTGGAAGCTAATCTTGGTTCTCAGGTTTGCTCCTGTCAACTTTCCTATTGTGTCATGTTGTTCAATCTCCAGGCCAGCAGCTGGTACCTTTGGGTAAGTGCTGTCTACTGCCAATGTGGATGGGTACTTACTTGATTCTGTTTACTGGGAGAAGCTCTCTGTTGTCTCAGGCAGTGAACTGATCTGTGGAGTGTGTAGTGGTTAATGGTTGTCCAAATTCCTCGGATGCAGGTAAGGAAACCCAGCGGAATACAGCTTTCACATCATACTTCTAGAAATGTCATCAGTGGGATGGATTTCCTACTGGGAAATGTCACCCTTTTTTGTCCCCATGTTGTATCATTGGCCTGGGCACTTGAGGAACACAAGATGATGATGAATTGACTTCTAAGCTCTTTACATGCTAGTCTAGAAACTGGAATTTGTAAAATCTCCATTTTTCTTTTAACCTTCTCCAATTAAGATTTATACCCCCAAGCACTCCACGAAAACTGTTAAACAAGATCCCCAGTGGCCTCTTGGATCTTGAGCAGTTATTAATATTCTCTCATGTATCTATACCCCTGTCTTCTAGATCCTTCGCTGTGTTCTCTAAACATGCTCAAGTCTCCATTCTAAAAGACCTTTATTTATTAAGGGGATTCTTCCCTAAGCACATTTTTTTCTCTATACTTCCTTTTCCAACAAAGCTTCTCCAAAGGGCAGTTTACTCTCTGGAGATAGTTTTGTCTCTAAGGAATATTCATTTACATTTACATTTTGACTCCTCCACTGAGAATTCATTTGTTGAGGTAAACAAATGAAAGTGTGTACCTACTTGCTACCATATTGTATGTACATATTTAGTTTTTCATTTCCTGGACCTTTGTGATGCTTTCTATTCTTTTGACTTCCAATATACCACTCTCTTGTTTTTCCTTCTACTTACGACCATTACTTTTGCTAAACCCTCTTTTATATCTACCCTATAAATATTGTGGCCTCTGTGGAGTTATATCTTTGGCTGTCTCCCACGCCATATTGTATCTATTCCTTAGTTGATCCTATTTTCTCTTACAAGTTTAAATCACTATGAACTAACAACTTCAAATTATCTTCTCCAAGCCAGATATTCTCTTCTTATTTCCATATTTGAACATATATCTGATGAGTGTCCATTTCCATCTGAATATCTCACAGGTATATCAAACTCAAAATGTCTCAAACTAAACTCATTGTCATTTTCCATCTCATTTTTTTCCTAATGGTTGCATTTACTGTCATCTACCATCTACCCAAACATGTAAGCCTGCAGCCTGAGAGTCATCCTAGACATCTCCATTTCTGTCATGCTCCATCTTCAGTCAGTCATCTAGCCCTTTCAGTGTCCATTTTTCCTTCTAAATATTCTTCTAATCCATCCTATCTTCTGCACATAACTACTCTCATTCTTGAGTTCAATGACTCATCATTACTTACCTAAATTACTAGCTAGAAGGGCATTGCTTCTGATGTAATTTCTGTATGGCTGCCAGAATGAGCTTTCAGAAACACAAATATAATCACATTTTTCTTCAGACAAAAAGCCTTCTGTACCTTCAAGTTGCCTTTAGGAGTTGCCAAACTTCTTCACCTGGAAAACAAACACTTTTTATAATTTGAATCAGAGTCTCACTCTGTCGCTCAGGCAAGAGTGCAGTGGCGTGCTCAGGGCTACTACAGCCTTGACCTGCTGGGCTCAGGTGATCCTTCCGCCTCAGCCTTCCAAGTAGCTGGAACTACTGGTGCACACCACCATGCTTGGCTAATTTTTTGATTTATTGTAGAGATGAGGTCTTTCCAAGTTACCCAGATTGGTCTCAAACTTCTAGTCTCAGGCAGTCCTCTCGCCTCAGCCTTCTGAAGTGCTGGGATTACAGGCATGATCCACCACATCTGGCCTCAATAAAAAAAATTATTGAATTAACTCTAGCTTTAGTTATTTATATTTTCTTTTTCTTTTCTTTTTTTTTGAGTTGGAATCTCACTCCTTTGCCCAGGCTGGAGTGCATTGGCACGCCAGAACTACAGACGCATGCTATCATGCCCGGCTATTTTTTACTTTATTGTAGAGATGAGGTCTTGCCAGGTTGCCTGGGGTGGTCTTGAACCCGTGGGCTCAGGCAATCTACTCACCTTGGCCTCCCAAAGAGCTGGGATTACAGGCTGAGCGACTGAGCCCGGCCAGTTATTTTCTTTGGTATCTATATTTTCTCTGGATACAGTGAGTATCATGATATCTGGCTGAAAGCAAACCTCCTGTCTCTTTGACTCTTTTTTCTGAGCTCAGGGTTGTACCATCTTCCCACTAGAGTTACTGTGGCAGGACATTTCCAATACCATTTGCCTTGTGTTTAATCTGTCTCTTCCAGTAAAGAATGTAGTGCACTTTGGTTTGGGTATCTTGGCATCTTCCCTTAGCCACCATGCCTTGACCACATTGTTTTGTTTTGTTTTTTCTCTTTTGGAAGGTGGGCGATAGGGGTGGGAGGTTTTCTTTCTCTCTCCAACCACACACATTTAATACATTTGATTAATAATAAATAGTGGTTTAGAGTTTGGGTTCTTGTTTAATACTGCCTGCCTTTACCTCACTACTTAACCATCTATGTGGATAAATTTATTAACTTCTCTGAGCTTTGATTTCCACATATATGAAATGGGATGAACAATAGCACCTATCTTATAGTGTTATTAAGAGGATTAAATACGATAACACATGTAGAGTGTAACACAGTGTTTACCATTCTGTCTTTTTTTCCTCATGTTGGCTTGGAACATATACCCTAGATAGCTGTTTTGGGACTCTGTGGATTGTTTTGCCCAACCCTCTGAGAATTATGTCTGATAATGAAGTATTATTTTATTTTTTATTTTTTTTTGAGTTGGAGTCTCGCTCTGTCGCCCAGACTGGAGTGCAAGTGGCCGCTCCCGGCCACCGCAGCCTCGACCTGCTGGGCTCCGGCGATCCTTCCGCCTCAGCCTTCCAAGTAGCTGGAACTACAGGCGCGTGCTACCACACCTGGCTAATTTTTTTTGATTTATTGTAGAGATGAGGTCTCACCAAATTGCCCAGGTGGGTCTCGAACCCGCGGGCTCAGGCAATTCACTCACCTCAGCCTCCCAAGGCACGGGATTACGGGCTGAGCCACCGAGCCTGGCTGTATTATTTTCTTTTAAGTGTATGTGTATATATTTTATGTGTATGTGTTATCATAAAAAAAAACGATTACAGTAATAGCACTCTTAGGCATTTATCCCAGAGAAATGAAAATTTATTTTCATGTGTTAACTTGTACACTAATTTTCATAGTAGCTTTATTTGTAATAGCCAAAGACTTAAAATTACTCACATGTCTTTCAGTGTGTGAATGGTTAGACAAATTGTGATACAGCTACACAGTTGGAATACTGCTCATCAATAAAAAGAGACAAACTATTGATACATGCAAACACTTGGATGGATCTTCAGAGAACTATGCTGAGTGAATAAGGCCAATCTCAGAAGACTACATACTGAATGGTTCTATAATGTACTTTAAAAAGTAAGTTGTAGAGATGGAGAGTAGGTTAGTGTTTGTCAAGAGTTAGGGATAGATGGAGAAGGGGTGGGTATGACTATAAAGGAATAGCTGAGAGGAGTCATATGCTATAGTGTGTATGTATCATGATTGTGGTAGTGGTTACACAAAGCTACGTATGTGATATAATCGCATATAGCCATGCATACACAATTTATAACTGTAGAACATGTGCATGGTATACATGTCTAACTACATATATAACTGGTATAATCTGAATAAGATCTGTGGATTGTACCAACATCAGTTTCCTGGTTTTGATGGCATACTATAGTTACTGTAAGATATTTAATTTGAGGAGAGTAGGTAAAAGGTTCATGGGACTTTCCTGTACATTTTTTATCACTTTCTCTGAATCTATAGTTATTTCACATTTTAAAAGTTTTTAAAAATTTCAACATTAAGGATCACCCATAATCCTATCATTCTATACTAGGCTATTTTTATTCCTTTATGTTTTCATCCCATCTTTGTCTGCATGCCCACATTGTTTAACATGTTTCTGATATTTTTACTTAATTTTTTATTCATCATTATATCAAATATTTTATACAATTCTTGCAAAAATTTTAATGGGACGAGATTTCAGATTCAGTTAATTTTTCTTGGACACTTAGTATGTGAAAGGAGACAGGGGCACATAATATCAATAAGGGTACCTGATCTCAAACCAGGTGAAATGAGGACCAAAGGGAGACCCAAACTTTACCTGTAAAATGACCGTTCATTTGGGGGGGAGGGGATGGGATTAACAGTAGCAAATATCTGTCTGGGGCTGGGAAAACACCTCTTATCAACAGGGTGCCTGAATGAAACGTAATTGTACACCTAACTCTTAACTGTACCTCACAAAACCATAATAAAAAATACTGATTAATTATTTTTAAAAAATGACCGTTCATGCACCTAATCCTGGATTGTACCCCACATCTTTAAAATGAAAAAAAAGATATTTAAATATAGAAAACCAGAAAATTACTTTATAAAAAATTATTTTATAAAAATTAGAAAATATGGATAAGAAAATCTGTATAAGCACAAGTATAAAATTAAACATTTAATAAAAACAAAAAAACTTTCAAAAAAAAAGCAAGGTACAAATCTAGTAGTCATAGTATTATTTTATTTATCTGCTTAATAGCCCATTGTAAAATTTCCCATTTTCTTCTATTATTAGTAGAATCTCAGGGAGTATCTTCGTGTATAAATACATTTTTTTTCTTTGTAAGATTTTTTAATTTTAAAGATGTGGGGTACAATTTCAGGGTTAGGTATACTAATGTTTATTATGCTGATGAGGTGTCCCCCCCCCCCGCCACCTCAGGTTCCCACTACTGTCAATTCCGTCCCCACCCATCCGGCAGTTTCCCCACTACTGCCAATGTGGCTGAATTTCAAGAGTGGGAATATGGATCAAAGGATACTGGTTCATACTTATACATCCCTGTTAGTTTTTTTATACTGCTTTCTAAAAGGGGATATGCATTGCAATCAGTAATATATAAGCATACTGGTTTTACCACAGCCATGCCAGCAGTCCATGTTTTGCAAATATACTGAGTATAAAATAGTGGCTTCGTGTCATTTTAAATGAACATTTCTGTCATTACTAGTGAAATTGAACTCTTCACATTTGTATTTCCTCGTATGTGAATTTTCTGTTCATATTATTTTACTACTTTATCTGTTGAAGTTGTGATGCTTTTTTTAATAAATGTCAAGAAGCTATTTATATTTTACAAGAATATTTTTATATTTATGATATTCCACTTATTAGAACAGATTTGAAGTTACTGTCATGGGTCACTTAATTATGGGGATATGTTCCAAGAAATGCCTCATTAGGTAATTTCATCATTGTGTGAACATCATAGATTGTACTTATACAGACCTAGATAGTATAGTCTACTACACACCCGGGCTATGTGGTGTAGCGTCTGCCTCCCACCACTGTTGTATATATGTGGTCCATCATTGACTGAAACAACATTATGTGGTCCATGACTGAATAAGAAAAAGCATCAAGGCTTCAGTAGATAAATGAATAACCTATTCTTAAATGCCTCCTGGGAAAAAGGTGATACCATTTTTGTGTCACCCCTTTTAGCCATATGTAATTTGCCTATATAATTTGTCACACTGATAGACTTTGAACTAAGGATTCCTGGATGACAGTATATGAAATGAAAACAACATTGGGCTGGAGATTTTATATTTGATGTGATCTTAGACACCTTGCCTTTGCTTCCTTTGTACATGAAAATCATGATACCTAAGGATATGGAGGTACACGTGTTAAAACCATGAGTTAAACTTTGAGTACAGATGAATTAAAGAGACTAACATCATAGAGCACCTCTTAAATATCTAAGATTATTTCCATGTTTCTGAAAACAAAAGGTGGTTTTTGTTTGTTTGTGGTCTTTAACCTCAGGTGTATAGGATTGAGTTCATCACATGTGCCTCAGTTCTTTGTATTAATACTTATCATCATTGGTTCGTGCAAAGCTATCTCTTGTTTTTATTTACTTATTTGGTTAGCCCTCTTTTTCCCATTTCATTCCCCTATCATAGACAAGCATACCGCATCGTAGACAAGCATTCTAATATTTATAATTGAATGTGTCCTCTAAAACATGATGGTTGTTTTTATATGCATGAATGTTTAATTTATATATAAATAGTGGTCTTCAATATATCACTGTTTCTTACTTTTTTCACTGTCATCATCTTTTTTTTTTTTTTGCTATGTGTACCTCTAACCCATTGCTTCTAATGGCTGCATAATATTCCACCACATCTGACCTGACTATTCTCAAAGTGATGGACATGTTCATCCTTATATATCTTCTTATGGATCTATATGAAAATTTATTTGGGTTCATTTTCAGGAATAGAATTGCTGAGTCATAGGGTATACACTTTTTACTTTAATTAGGTAGTGCTAGATTATCCTTATGAATGGCCCCACCTGTCTACACTCTCCTTCGTTGTAGTGGATGATGATTCCTGTGTCCCTATAACCCTGCCAACATAGCACTTACTTTCTGGCTTTCTAGTTTTTGACAATTTTAGAAACTTAAAGCAATATCTAGTTTTAATTTTCATTTATTTTATTACCAGTGTTTTTGAGCATCTCTTCATGGTTGTATGGTTCTGGGATTGCTTCTTACACAACTTGCATGTTCTTATACTTTATCTATTTTTTTATTAGGGCCTCTTTTTCATACTGAGTTGCAGGAGTTTCTTATAAATTCTAGATAATAACTCCTTGTTAGTTTTAGACATTGCACATATTTTCTCCCATTCTGTTATTAACTTTTAGAATGCCATTCCCTGCTGCTAGATCCAAGGTATTCTTTATTTTTTTTTCCCGAGTAACATAATAGTTTTATCTTTTACAAATAGATACATCTAGAGTCTGTCTACTTGTATATATAGTGTTAGGTAGCGATATGGTTTTGTCTTTCTTCATGTACTGTTTTCCCAGCACATTTAACAAATACTCTTACCCATCAATTTGTATTGCCATATCTATACTATATTAGGCCCCCATTTATATATCAGTCTGGTTTTGAGCTCTGGTCCTTTTCCGCTGGTCTGTTTTTCTTACAGTAGTACTGTGGGGGCTCCCTTCCCCACTGCTTTGAGTATATTTTAATACCTGGTAGAGCAAATATTTTCCTCTTTTCTTTTTTAAGGTTGGTTTAACTATTTGTGTGGTTTTATTCTTCTATGTATATTTAGAATAAGATGTTAGAAAATTCACTTTGAAATCTGACTGTAATTGTGTTGAATTTGTGGGTTAATTTGAGAGATAATTGGCATCTTTATAATATTAAGTTGCCCTGACCAAGAGCACAGACCTCTCTTCATTTCTTTAGATTATCTTCTACATGCTTTATTAAAGTTTTAAAGTAAAAGTCTTATATATGCTTGGTTAAACTAATTTCTAGATTTTATATAGTTTTTGTTGCCATTGTGAATGGTATTATTAATTGTATTTTCTAAGTGATCATTGCTGGTATAGAAAAATGCTATTGATTTTTGTAGGTTGATCTTATATCTGGTAACCTTGCTAATAATCTCCTCTCATATTAGTTCTAGTAGTTTATTGATTCTTTTTTTCCCATCTAGGTAGATGATAATCTCCCCTGTAAATGGTACCAAGTAGTGCACTTCCTTTCCATTCTTTGCATTTCTTAATTCCCCCTCTTTCTTCATAGTATTAGTCAGAATATTTAAAACAGTAGCAGTAATAGTTGGGGTCCAAATTGCCTTGCTCCTTATTTTAAATCTGCATTTAGTTTCTCTGTTATGCACAATGTTCTTCGTAGGTTTTTGGTATATAATCTTTACTAAGTTAAGGATGTTTATTTTTACTTCGAATTCTCATTCATCAAGAGTTATTATCATACATAGAATTGAACCGTATTAAATGATTTTTGGTGTCAATTGAGATATAATCTGATGTTTATCTTTTAATTTATTCACGTGATATATTGCATTGAAGTTTTCTGATGTTGAACTGTACTTGCTTTCTTGAGATAAATTGTACTTTGTTAAATATATTTTTAAAAAATATACTGTTGTATTCATCAACTTTTTTATTTGGCTTTTTTTGTATCTATGTTTCATAAGTGGAGGGCCTACATTTTCTTTTCTTCTAATTACATTTATTTGATTTTAGAATCAAGATTACATTATCCTCATAAAATAGACTGAGTAAACATTATTTATTTTCCAGTGACTGAAATCAATTGGATAAGGTCTTCATTAACTGTTTCTTGTACGTGTGGTAGAATTCACCTATGAAAGATTTGGGGCTGAGGTTTTAGATATGGGAAATCGTTGACTACCATTGCCATTTTATTTTTTTCTCTGGATTTTTAAATTTCATGTAAGTTTTCCAATGTATTAGCATATTGTTGTTCATAATACTTAAAATTTTTTGAATTTTTAATGTTTTCCCTTTTTCATTCTGCATTTTATTTAGTTGCATCCTTTCTCTTTAAAGTTCTATCCTATTAACCTCTTCAAAAAAATCATATTCTCATTTGTTAATCTTTTCTTTTGGTGTGTGGATATCAATCTCTGCAGGAGTCTCTGCTTATTGATTTTTGTCCTTTGTCATCTTACTAGTTTCTCTGTTATTTTGCTATTTTTACTATATTGAATACTTAGCTAGTTTATTTTTAACCTTTCTCATTTCATGATAAACGTACTTAATGCTATACATTTCCTTCATCTTTAGCTGTGTCCTACAAATTTTCATGTTATATCATTCATTTTGAAATAGTTCTTAATTTCCATTTAACCCAAAGTTAATTTAGTAATAAGCTATTTTATTTCCAAATGTATGATGCTAATTTTTGTCTATTATTTTGTTATTAATTTCTAATGTCATTGCGTTGTGGTTAGAGAACATTAGAATTTATTGAGTCTTCCTTTACAACTGTAATCATTGTCTCATTTTGGAAATGTTCTATTTGTTCTCTTGAATGATTCAATGCTCTGTTTGTTGGATATATGGGTCTACTCTCTATCTAATAACTTGAGCTTTTTAGTTGTAATGTATAGGTGTTCTATATCTTTATTTGACTTTTTTTTGTCTTCTTGACCTGTTAGTATCCATAGTAAAATGTCCAAATGCTCTTGTTTGTTTGTTTTTTCTCTCTGCAGTTCTGCTTGGTTGATATATTTTGAGACTGTATTATAAGATACATATACATATTTATGATCTTCTTGTCCTATTGTTCTTTGTCATGCATATTCTATTTTGTCAGCTATTGAAAATCTACCCCAGTTTTATTTTGGTTTATATTTGCCTGGTTTCTTTTTGTCCATCCTGTTATTTTCAACTTGTTTGTGTTGCTAAAGTGTATCTCTTCTAGTCTGAATATTGTTGAAAATTTTGTTTCAAACCATTTGATAAGTCTGCCTTTTGATTGGTAAGTTTAATTTATGTATATTTATTGTGATTACTCCTATATTTGGACTTATTTCTGGCATTTCATTTTTTACTTTCCATTTGTGGTACTCTTTTTGTCTTTCTTTTTTCCTGTTTCACTCTATTCCTGCCCTGGAATTTTCGATCTATCCTCATGTTATTTACCTGTATTGATTTTTTTTATGCATAAAACCTGCCCTTCCTTCTGACCAGATAAGTACCTCAGCACACTCTTAGGTATTATATATTTTTCACTCATACTGACACTATCATGTAAACATTGTTTAGAATTTTGATCCTTTCTAGAATGCATGTTTCTCTCTCACTTTTTTTATTTTAGATTTAAAGTTTTTGATGTTTATTTTTCTTAGCTATGTAATTGTTATTTAGTTTCTTAGCTACATAATTTTATTATGTTTTAGGTTTAGGGGGTACAAATGTATTACAGGACTAATTTAGGAAAAGTAATATAGATTATCCTAGTTTGCCATCTTGGCAGGAACTGGAAGGTCTCAAAGATGGTTTAAAACAAATTGATAGCATTTATCTTGCTTTGAATTGTCCCACTTTAATCACAGGTGGTGAGTTGATAACTTAATCAGTATTTTGTTCCTCAAATAACAGGTACAAAATGTGAAATTACTGGATCGTTACGTGGGTAAGAAACCAGCTAATGGGATTCTGTATCTTACTGCAACCCACTTGATCTATGTGGAGACTTCTGGTGCAGCCCGGAAAGAAACATGGGTATGTTCATGGGAAGAAATGCCAAAGGTTCTTAAAGAGTTGTACATACGTACTTTCTATATGGTGGTTTCTTGAAATTTCAAGTATCATTATTAGCTAGAGGACTCATGGCCTATACTTTGGGATGCATTGATTTAGACCATCTCTCTGTTCTAAGACAGGATTTCATGTGTGTGTGTGTGTGTGTGTGTGTGTGTGTGTGTGTGTGTATGTGTTTGTGTGTGTGTGTGTTTTATACCTTTAAATAATGTTTTCTAATTATTTCAGCACCCATAACTTACATTATGCTGACCCATCCTAAAGTAGCATCAGAAGTTAATCTTAACTTAATCATTAGCCAGACCTCTTCACTTAGTACAAATATAACATATATACGACATAGCACAGTGATTAAGATCACAGGCTTTAGAACCAGTCTGCCCATGTTGAAATCTCAGTTTCAGCACTTACTACCCCCAGATTTGTTCCTGCCAGTGGACTGAATCTGGAAGGGAGAACTTACATTTGTTTATTTCTGTATGTCAAAGGAGGCTTATTTACATTATTATTATTATTATTATCATTATTATTTGAGACAGGGTATCACTCTGTTGCCCAGGCTAGAGTGTAGTGATGCAATCTGGTCTCACTGCAGCCTCAACCTCCTGGGCTCAGGCAATCCTCCCACCTCAGCCTCCTGAGTAGCTGGGACTACAGGCACACGCCACCATGCCTGGTTAATTTTTGCATTTTTTGTAGAGATAGGGTCTTGCTTTGTTGCCAGGCTGGTCTCCAACTCCTGGGCTCAAGCAGTCCTCCCACCTCAGCCTCCCAAAGTGTTGGGATTACAGGTGTGGGCCATTGCACCCAGTCCCAATTAGTAATTATTAATGAAGTTCTTCCAGTCTTAGTCTGTTCCATCTTTCCTCCACCCTTCCCCATTTCACCACAACTGTTTGCCTGGCCCCTGAACTCGACGTTCAGTATTTTACTACCCAAACACATCTCCCATATTGACTCGTAGGACTTTGATTTTCTTGAGATAGGATACATTAATTTCTATTACATTATCAAGAGTTTTTGCAGCACCTCCAAAGCTGCCTTGGCAGGAATTGAGTTTGATAAAACAATTAAGATAGAAATTAAGGTAGGAAATTTTCCCTAGGAATATGTGAATCATCTCCATACCTGCTGCATTCTTAGATGGTGGATGTGTTTGAAAAATGTCATAAAAGAGGTGACTTTTACATATAAATTGGAGGCTGAGGCATGGGGATGTGAGAGAGAAGAAAAGAAATGTTAATTGGAATGTCATTTCAGGCACAGGTCAGGAATTTCGGAGAATAGAAAGAGCACATATAGGCTCTGTAGTTGCAGGAAATGTTAGATATGGATAGGAGAACATCAAAGACTAAAATACAAAACTGTGATTTTAGGACTTTTTTTCATCTATAAAGAGATAATTATATTATTTGGATACATTTTCTTTTATCAGTTCCCACGCTTTTTTTTTTTTCTGGAATCAGCATGGGCAGGAGTAATCATCCTATATTCTTTGCTTTACGGTCACCAGAGTCTAAAGTGTAATTTCCCACTCATGTTTCTTGTTAAATCCTACTTCCAGAACTAGATTTTTTAGAATTATTGGAGAAATAATCCTGGACTTGGGGTTAGACTGTCATGGTTCAAGTCCTGTTTGTGCCACTTCTTGGCTGTGTGACTTCTGATGAGTGTCGGTGACCAGCACTGACCAAGGGTGGGTTAGGACCCGCACCAGAGAATCTGGACAGCGAGAAGAAACTACTCGGAGGCAGTTCTTCTGGGAACAGTCTGATCAGGACTGGAGCCAATTTTATTCAAACCTTTTCCAACTTATATACCATTTTCTATACCCTCCAGCAGTGTGATAATCACTTACTGGGGGCGTACAAGTTCCGTGCTTTACAAACTATGCAACACAAGACCACCATGAGATCTGCAATTTCCAAGCAAACAATTCGAATTCCATGATGCCTGCCGTGCTTACATTAAGGTCACAGGTGCACAATTTCAATACAAATCGTTCAAAGTGTTTTCCATAATGTTCAATGAATCATTCATATTATACTCTTTGCTCTATACCCTGATTAATACAAAAAACTTTCCTGAGTTAACTCTAGGTTCAATCCAAGTTCACTGATTCCCAATATTTTTAACGATTAATATTATCAACTTAACACTATACTATAATCTATAAGTTTAGTTAAATGACTTAACTGTCAGTTATACTATTATCCTATTACGATTTAACGTAATGCCTTATAACTCAGTTAAAACTTATTCTTAAACTACAAAACTTTACTATAATTCATATGTTTCATATGTCTAAACTTTAATTTTTATATGATCTAGTTATTGGACTTTAATACTATGCTATATCCTATTAAGCTAATTCCTCATCATTAATTCTTTCATAAATCGTATAGTAACTATTACACTTGAATAATGTAGCAAAAGGAAACAAAACAGCAAGCATAGATTTACGCAGCTATGAGTATATATGTATATATTTTATCCTAACAAGTCTACTCTAAAAATCAAATAGTAGCTGTCACACTCTTGAACAAGGAAATGCAGGGTTGCCAAGATGGCGGCCATGGGCTGAAGCAGACAGAGTTTCGGTAATTAACGAAACAAAAGAAAACGTTCTACCTGGTTAGGGGCAGGGCGACAAAACTATCATGGTAATTTAGTTTCTAATCTTAGCCCTAGGGGAAACAGCTTTCGGAATAAGAGCTGACTACCCAGTCTACCAGGAAATAGAAGTTAAAAAATATCTAGAAAGAAGTAAAACTTAGAAAGACAGAGAAAAATAATTCTGCTATGCACTTTCCATCAGGTGTATTGAGATTTACTTATAAGTTTTACTGCCATATATGCACACTGGTCACTAATCACACGTCAATATTATAGGTATAACTGATATCCTATGTCAGAGGCGATCTTCCAGATGGCCTTTACAGGCCTCAGCCATGTAGCTATAGATGTTGGCTCTCAACAGATGAGGAATTTAATTCTCAGAGCTTTGATTTTTTTTACGTTCCTGAAATAGAACGATTATATATCAAAGGGCTCTCATAAGCATTAAATAGCTAATGGTCATGGACTACCTTGTGAATAATAAAGCACAATACCAATGACTAATCATTATTTTAATTAGCAATTTGGCAGAACAAAAAGAAGCCCTATTTTCCTCTGTAAAAATTATTCTGTAATTGTAAACTCCAGCATAGCATGCTATAAGTTATCTATTCTGAGCTGATTCACCAAAATTGTCCCACATACCTGTTAATCTTGTATCCTTAAATAGAGAGAAGTTTTCTAACATTGCACTCTGTTTCTCTTTGCTTTACCACTGTTACACTTTAGTTCTGTTTGTGAGAACCTAGCTGTGTCTTTAAGGATGGTTGTAGAGTATAGATGTGATCATATCTCTGGCCATACTGTTACCATTGCTGAGAATCAGGTACACTGATAGTGAGAGAGAGAATGCCCATCTGTATGTTTATACTGGTTCTTTTCTGTTTTGCAGATTGCACTCCATCACATTGCCACTGTGGAGAAGATGCCCATCACTAGCCTGGGCTGTCCCCTGACCCTCCACTGCAAGAATTTCCGGGTGGCCCACTTTGTTTTAGACTCTGACTTGGTGTGCCATGAGATTTATGTTTCACTGCTAAAGCTTTCTCAACCAGGTAGTTATAATAGTATTTTAATGTAAAACCATTTTAACTTTTTTATCAGAATGGTATAATGGCATTGAAGTTAGACACAGCAGGGTTTGGATCTGGGTTCTGCCACTTACCAGCTCCATGGTATTTGGGCAAGTTATATTACCTCTGCACTCAGCTTTCTCATCTATAAAAGTAGGGAGAGTAAAGCTCCCCAAAGGATTTGTTTTGAGTGTTGAATACATTCATGCATTAGTTTATAGTAGATGTTTAATAGATGTTTCCTTCTCTCTCCTTCCTTCCATTTAAGTATCAACTTGTAAACTTTTCTTCAGTTCATGAAGGAAGACTGCTTTGGAACAAAACTTGTTTCCTGGTGTCCTGCAGGCTTTATGTCTGGCCCACTATCCCCACCCTTATCTTCGGTTTTAACTAGAAGACTGGGGCAGTTCATCACAATCTTCACTAATGCAGTTATCCCTGCTTCCTCAAGCCTCTCCCTCTCATTCCCCATCTGCTACCCCTATGCAGCTAACCCATCAGCTTCCTCTGACTTTAATCTATGGAATTTTCATACTCTTACATTTTCCCTCCCATTTTCTTCCCCCTCTTTCCTCAGAATAATTCCTCAGCATTTGATGATATTTTATTGACAGAGTTACCTGCTGGTTGGCCCAGCATTTGATAAGGCTGTGGTAGACTCCATTCATCTCTGGAAATATCGTTGCCACATAAATCAGTCAAATGAGTTATTTGATTGCATGTTGAATCTTATGAAGGGCAGAAATAGGACTGACAGGGAGACAGAATAAATGGCCATTTATCAGCTAGAAGTTGATATCAGCCTGACAAGTAGAATGCAAGAACATTATTAATGTTGTGCAACATGTTAACAAGAGGTGCAATTAGGACATGGAAGCCCACTTAAAAACTTTTCTAAGATGCGAAACCCAACGCCAGTTCATTCTATTATCCAGCGTTCTTTTTTTATAGGAAGCCAGGCAGAAAGCTCTTACTTTTTATATATTGCTATTTAAGAAATTAAAACATTTTTAATAGAATAACCCAAAACAATATTACAGTTTTTATTCCTTACATAAAAGCAAATGTTTACACAAAACACTGTCTTTTTCTGGGACTTTCTGACAAACATTCCTTTTAGGAGCAGGAAATCTGGCCTTTATTTGCATTATTTGTTGATTTTTAAGTTTCACTCATCATTACTTTGTTTCTATACCTGTCTCTCTTCTCCAGCATTACCTGAAGATCTTTATGCTTTTTCTTATAATCCCAAATCCTCAAAAGAGATGAGGGAAAATGAATGGAAACTGATTGACCCAATATCAGACTTTGAACGTATGGGAATACCCAACAGGTACTGGACTATAACAGATGCTAACAGAAACTATGAGGTAATTTTGTTATTGTTGTACTTTTTGTACATTTAAGTAAAATGGCAGAATATCAGGAAACAAGGTTTCAAAAAAGAAAGAGAAAAGTCACTTTTAATCTCTTCCTTCTTTTTATTTGACATTCAGTCATTCAACAAACATTTATTTAGTACCTACTGTGCAAGAAGCACTGAGTCCGAAATCTCATGGTCTAAAGTATAAGGTGCTATGGGAGCATAGATAAGGATTATGAAAATCAGCCTGGGAGGCCAGAAACAGCTTAATGTTTTAGGGACTAGTCTTGTGAAGGAATTCTACCCTAATTTATTTAAATTTTTTAAAAACTTTATATTTTGAATTATGCACATATAGTAGTTTTACATATTTATGGGGTACATGCGGTATTTTAATATAAGCATACAATGTGCAATGATCAGATCAGGGTAATTGGGATACACCTATCACCTAAAACATTTATCATTTCTTTGAGTTAGGAACATTCTGATTCCACTCTTTTAGTTATTTTGAAATATATAATAAATTGTTAACTATAATCACCTTATTGTGCTACTGCATACTAGATCTTATTTTTCTATTTAACTGAATTTTTGTACCCATTAACCATACCCCTTTTGTCACTCCCTCCCTACTACCCTTCCCAGCCTCTGGTAACCACCATCATTCTGATCTATCTCAATGAGTTCAACTCTTAGCTTCTGTATATGAGCAGTGTCATGCAATATTTGTAATTCTGTGCTTGGGTTATTTCACTTAATATAATATCCTCAAGTGCCAACCATGTAGTTGCAAATGATAGGCTTTTGATTTTTTTATGGCTGAATACTATTTTATCATGTATATGTACCACATTTCCTTTATCCATTTATCCACTGATCAACACTTAGGTTGATTCCATATCTTGGCTATTGTGAATAGTGCTGCAATAAACATTGGAGTGCAGATATGAGGGAGAACCCCAAAACCCCCGTAATTATCTTTTGGAAGATGGGCCTCTTATAGTACACTTGGAATTTGTCCCTCTGGATCAAACAGTCTACCAAAATTTTTGTTTGTTTGTTTTGTTTTGTTTTGTTTGAGTTAGAGTCTCACTCTGTCACCCAGGCTGGAGTGCAGTGACACACTCATGGCCACTGCAGCCTTGACCTGCTAGGCTCAGGCAATCCTTCCATCTCAGTCTTCCAAGTAGCTGGAACTACAGGCATGCGCTACCATGCCTGGCTTATTTTTTTATTTATTGTAGAGACGAGGTCTCACCAAGTTGCCCAGGCTGGTCTGGAACTATCTGGAAGTTTTGAGAAGGTCGCATCACAATTTGCAGAAGAAATGTCTCGTGTTTTGGCAAACAGGTGATGGGTTCTTCTACCATGACAATGCATCTGCCCACACTGCACTGAGTGTTCAGCAGTTTTTGATGTAAAAAACGGCATGACCCCTATGTCCTACCCTCCCTATTCACTTGATCTTGCCCTGAGCGACTTTTTTTTGTTGCTTCCTTGAGTGAAAAAAATCCTCAAAGGGAAATGTTTTGCCAGTCTGGAAAAGGTGAAACAAAAAATGGCAGAAGCACTAAAAGGCATCAAAATTGATGAGTTAATAAACTGTTTCAAGCAGTGGAAAAAGTGTCTTGACAAGTGTATTGCATCAAATGGAGGATACTTTGAAGGTGATTGAAATTTAAACATGTAAAAGTAAATACACACTTTTGTATAAATAAGTTCTGTTTTTTTGAGGGGCCCCCTCATATCTCTTCAATATACTTATTTCCTTACTTTTGGATATATACCCATTAGTGGGAATACTGAATCATATGGTAGCTCTATTTTTAGTTTTTTGAGGTGCCTCCATATTGTTCCCCATAGTGCCTGTACTAATAGACTTTTCCACCAACAGTGTAAGAAGATTCCTCTTTCTTCACACTTTTGCTAGCATTTGTTATTGCCTGTCTTTTGGTAAAAGCCATTTTAACTGGGGTGAGATATCTTATTATAGTTTTGATATACATTTCTCTGATGATTAGTGATATTGAGCATTTTTTCATATACCATATGCAAGGCCATTTGCATGTCTTCTTTTGATAAACATCTATTCAGGCCCTTTGCCCATAATTTAACAGGGTTATTTTTTTTTCTGACTATTAAGTTGAGTTCTTTATATATTCTGGTTATTAATCCTTTGTCATATGAGTAGCTTGCAAATATTTTCTCCTACTCTACACTTTGTTGTTTTTCCTGTCTCCACACTTTGTTGATTGTTTTCTTTGCTGTGCAAAAGCTTTTTAGCTTGATATGATACCATTTGTCCATTTTGGTTTGGTTGCCTGTGCTTTCGAGGTCTTACTCAAGAAATCTTTGCCCAGATCAATGTCCTGGAGTGCATCCCCAAAGTTTTCTTGTAGTATTTTCATAGCTTCACATCTTAGATTTAAGTCTTTAGTATATTTTGATTTGATTTTAATATATGGAAAGAGATAGTTTAATTCTTCTGGATATGGATATCCAATTTATCTATCACCATTTATTGAGGAGACTTGTCGTTTCCCCAAAGTGTTTTTGGTGCCTTCGTCAAAAATGTGTTGACTGTAAATGCGTAGATTTATTTCTGGGTTTCTATCCTAATATATACTGAGGGAAAAGAGAGGAAGTCCGGAAGTGAAGCCAGATCATGAAGGGCTTATGGCCAAATTAAGGAATTTGAATATTATCCTGAAGACAATTGGGAGCCACAAAGATATTTTAAGCTTGAAAGGAACATGAATCTATTTGTATTTTAGAAAAATAACTTTGTTATTGGTGTGGAGAATTTGTTTGCTGGAGCTAAGGATGCAGTAGAATGATATATGAAGTTATGAGAACCTGAACTAAGACAATGACTGCAAATGGAGATAAGGAGGTGGTTTTGAAATGCATTTAGGTGGTAGAACTGAAAGAACCTGGTGACATTAAATGTGGCTGGGAAAAGGAGGAGGAGCTTAGTATGTATCCCAGGTTTTCTAATTTCTTGCTTTAGTAACCAAGTGAGTAGTGGTGATGTTAGCCAAGATAAGGACCACAAGAAGATGAAGAGTGTCTTCAGTTTTACACTTGACTTCAAGATTATTCAAAAAATCAAGTAATTGATATCAAACACTTGGGTCTGGATCTCAAGAAAGAGCTCTGGACTGAATATAGAGGTTGGGCAATGTGTTGGGGGTCCCTACAACCATTACTCAAGTTTTGTGGTACCCTAAGAGGACTCACAGGACTTGGCATATAGTCATACTTAAGGCTATGGTTTATTACAGTGAAAGGATACAAAGCAAGATCAGCCAAGGAAAAAGGTGCATAGGACGAAGTCTAGAGAAGATCAGGTAAAAGCTGCCAGAGTTCTCTCCAAGTGGAACCACACGGAATACACTGAATAATTCCAGCAACAAATTGTGGCAACACATGTGAAGTGTTGTCTACCAGGGAAGCTCGTTAGATTCAGTGTTCAGTGCTTTTATTAGGTGCTGCCCATATAGGTACCTACTATCTGCCTAGTGTTTACAGATGCCCAGAAGGAAAGCAGTTATTCTTGATAAGCCACATTGTACAAACAGTTAAGGCACAATGAGCCACTCTTACCAGTTAGAAAATGGTGGACACCCTCCTGAAATCCAATTTCCCTTACATCAGCCCTGAGCCAATTTTGCAAGTAGGCCTTTTGAAGGGTAGCAGTCAAATCTGCTTTGATAACTTTTCTGAACAGAGAGAGAATCATTGGTGTTTAAGTGATATCTCTGAATTGTTGGATCTTCAAGTTATTTTTAGCATTTTGCTATCATAATAAGAATGTAATTGTAATAGCTTTCTGATGATTTACATTTGAATATCCACAAGGTATGAGGATTGATGAACTGTCACTAGGTAAGGCCATCTGTGAGGTGGCTTATTAGGGTCATGCTTGATAGGAATGAGTAGAGGTGAGGCAAATTCTGTCCAGTTTAAATATGTGTCTACTCCCCCAAATGAGGTCTGAAATATACATGTTGGTCCTTTGAATATGTATGCCCTTCTGAACTGAATGGGGAAGCTCCATTTACTTATCTTTATATGACCTTCCTCTCCAAAGTTTACGTCCAGGTAAGGGGGGTGGGTAGAAACTATTTTCTTTCTCAAATGGTCTACATTCTGGGGACACTGACTTTAATGAGTTACAAAGCATTCTTGATCTCTCTACCTTGAACTGTTTTTTGTTTTTTTTTTGCCTGTTCATTTTGTATTTGCTTGATCTGTTGTCAGATGTTTGGGGGGAATGATTAGAGTTAATTTTGCAGTGTCAAGTCTGTGCTGCTATTATGTTTTGTTGCTGTTTCTTTGGAAATTTGCATTTTGGTAACCACTAAGAGCTGACAAGTTTAAGAAAACGTGTTAGTCTTTTTATAGAGTAAGTCACACCTAAAATATCAACACTTTCACCCCCCAGACTAGTGTTTTAAAGGCCCTCCAGAGATGCATACTAGGAAATTATGCAGTTTATAACAGAGTACATCATATTTCCTCGTCCTCTACTTGTCTGACGTATATTTGAGTCTGTTTTAATTTATTTGTTTACAGTCTACATTGTTTGCTCTGATAGGCAAATGTAGGAATTTCAGGAGAGGGTTGTTTGTATGTTTCTACCTATGATTTTAGTTATTGTAAAGGTATGTTTTGTTCTTGTATGTCTCAATACCTTCCTTTCTGGAAAATAATAGCAAACTTGTAAAAACTTCTATACCAAGGATATTTTTGTTACTATTTCTGAAAATGGATGGTTCTGGATGGTAAATACTAGACAGCTAATGCTTGAATGATTAGTGATTCCAGCTTGTTGCTAGCAAGTGAAAAATGTCTTAAAATCTGAGGTTATTTTTATTACTATTATTGTTATTATTATTAGATATGCAGTACCTATCCTCCTGAATTAGTGGTTCCTAAATCTGTTACCTTGGGAATGGTGGTTGGAAGTTCGAAGTTCAGAAGTAAAGAACGTGTTCCTGTGCTCTCCTACCTCTACAAAGAGAACAATGTGAGTTAAGTAGATTCTCCAAATGAAAACTAAACTTGGCTCTGGAAGACTTGTGTTTTAAGTCCCACCCTACCACTTATTAGCTGTGTGACCTCAAGCAAGTTATTTGACTTCTCTGAAGGTTTTTGAGATGGTCACATGAGGGAAAAATATATGTGTACTTTGTAAATTGTAAAGTGTTGTATAGATGTTAAGTGACATTTTAGTGTGCTCATTTGTTTCTTTCATTTTCTGTGGGTTCCTGCTTGGTGAGAAGTTGTGAAATGGAGGGAAGTTAGTTATATGAGAGGATATTTGGGGACAGTGGCCTCCCACTAGAATGTGGATATCCTTGATACTTTCCCATTGCTTTTCATATAGTTTCAGGTGGTAGGAAGAGAGCACTTGGCTCTTCCATATTTGAGACCCCTTATTTAGGAAGTGATAGTAGTTCTCATTTCTTGTAGTCATTCTGAGATCTGGGGTTAGGTAAATTGTAAAATTCTCAACTATTCAAGTACTAAAGAGTATAGTAATATAATTGAGTGTCTCTATATTAAACTATCAAAGTGAGCATACCCCTTAAAAACCATAACGAAGTGTAATGAAGCCCGTTAACTAATCATTATCAGACATACCTGTTAAATAGCTATGTTTTTTGTTGTTAATTTTTGTTTGTTTGTTTTTATGTTCAAATGGTTTGAAACAAACCAACCTTCTCATTTGGCATTAACTCCTGAAACTAGTGAACACTGTTTTCTGAAGCCACTCTAAATATTTGCTCTGTTTTGAATTCTGCTGCTGGTGCAAGCCTCTGGGGTATGTGGGTGATATTACTGGGACTGTAAAAAGTGGGACAGTTTCAGAAAAGTAACTAGCCTGTTACGTATTAAGAATAGAATTTTATTAAGGAAACACTCAAGATGGAATTTTTTTGGTGATCTGATTTGCCAAGACTGGGTTGGAAATTTGAGCCACATGCGTGGGGGAGGCAGGAGGTTGAGCCCAATTTCAGTGAAATGGCTGTGCTTTAGAGCCACATTTCTCTTTGCTTTGGACACTATCCTGAGTTGGCTCATCTCTCTCTGGGATCAAGGAGGATTTTTGACCATCTGTGAATGTGATTACTCACTTGACATACTTTTTCCTTACAGGCTGCCATTTGCCGCTGTAGCCAGCCTCTCTCTGGATTTTACACTCGCTGTGTAGATGACGAGTTCTTGCTAGAGGCCATTAACCAAACAAACCCAGGGAGCCCGTTTATGTATGTTGTAGACACAAGACCAAAGGTATCTAATCTGTCAGTGACTTCTTTGATGTTCCTACTACTTGGAGTCCTCCTCATCACATGCTGAGATTTGCAGCGTTACTGGGAAAGTTAGGTCTGTGAATGTGGGTTTATTGTGTCAGACATTGTGCAAAATCATCTGAGCAAACCATTTGGAGCTCCTTTTATAAGCCTATCATGGTCAAGTGAGGCTGTGAGATAGTATCTTGAACAACCTGGCTTTGTTATCTCAGTGTGACTTCCTGAGTTGAAGGCTATTTGATATCCCCTCATCTTTTTCACTGTGTCTGTTCCTCAACCAGAATTTTTAATATCCCCATTCTGTGTTCTTCATTTTCTATCAGAGAAAGAGCATCAACATAAAAACTGGAAACTTACTATTACCAACATATTTTTCTTGTAAATAATGTGTTAAGCCCACAGTTGGTTAATAATACTTTGGTGTTTCCCAAAGGAGCAGAATTCACAAATCTTACTACTGTATGATTTACAAAAAAAAGTATTGGCTCATGTGGTAATAATTTTTTAGCATCTAGCACTATTAACTGATTCAATGCTTCCCAGTTCAGTGTAGTGCAGTTTAAATCTTGGTCCCAGAGAATAAGAAAAGACCAGGGCTATAAATTTGCCATAGATTTTGGCAGTGGACATGGGCTAGTGAATTCTTTGAGCTTTCCAAGAGTCTAATACGCATTATTTATTGTAATATGTTTTCTCAGGCATTGTCCCTTTCAAATGCAAATGTTACTGAATGGAGGGTCCTCATATCAACCCAAATATCAACCTGAAATCCTTTGCATTAACTATTTAACCTTTAACATTTTATGCGACTCTGAGTGATTGTAGAATAATATATTGTGCTCCACAAAGCAAGTAAAGGACAGATTTTCTTTTCTTAAAGGCTATCCTTTTAATAAGCAGCCCCAGAAAGAAATAATCGTGCTTATAATTTGAAGTGTGGAGTATGGCTGACTTGGAGGTTTCATTTCTAAGTAGTGATCACGAAATTGGTGATGTAGAGCTAAGCCTAAGTCATATGGTTGTGGCTTTAGAATTGAGCAATTGGATATACATGAAACCAAATAGTGGCCTTCGACAGCTGCCTGCCCCATCTATGTTATTCCTCACTGGCCATTTTCCAGACCTACCTAGAACTGATTGGATTCACAAGAGAAAATAATTTCCCTTTCTGCTCAGGTACCATCCTTCAGTTTCTCAGAAGCTTGCTTCAATCATAACTGCATCTGATATTTTGAGTGTAAATAATTTAATCAAGTCTGTATCTTTAATCAAGATTAAATAATCTTAAAATGATAAAGAGAAATGCACCAAGCTTTTGAAAAACTAAGAGTTGGTGACCTTTGTTCAACTCCAACACCAGAAAGACCCTTTTAACAGGTCTCATTTTCCTGTCTCCAATTTGAGCAAATTAAGACAGGCCTAGAAATATCTGTGAGTTCTCTTCTTCGGATGGCCAGATCTATACTTTTAGTAGAAACTATGTTGTACTGACAAAATTTTTTTCTTAGGAATCAGGCAAAGCTAGAGTCCAATCCTGCCTTCAGCCCCTATCCATATGATCCTGGGCACATTGCTTCACCTTTTTGAGCCTATTCTCCTATGAGGAAAATAATAGTACCTACTTTGAGGGGTTGTAGTGAGGATTAAATATGTGATGTATGTAAATTATCTAGTACAACAAGGTCAGGCACATACTAGAAGCTCAGTACATATTACATCACTTCTCCGGCTGAACATTAAATATGTACCTATTCCTCAGATTTGCCAGACATATTTCCAAAAAAGTGAATATGAGCACGATGCTGCTAGCCATCTGCATTAGTTGGCCAACCCAGACCTAAGTAAGGATTGCTGCAATTACTGTTTTGTTTGCTGAAGCATCACTCATAGCAAAATTCCTCGCTGCTAGTTGGCAGTCGCTTATACTTCTACAGGTGTTGCTTTGACATTTGTCTTTAATGAAAACTCAATGACACCATCAGAATGATAAAAGATCAAAATTACCATGATGTTTCTCCTGTTAATGAATGTCTTGCATTCTGAACAGAATATTTTGAGCACATTGACTTACTTTTCCTCATCATGTCCTAACTTGAATAGTTTGTGCTTGAGGTTTCTGCATTCTTTTGATACAAAAACTACCTCCTGGCCACATACATGCTCTTCTTGCCTTCTGAAATGCACAATACTGGGAGATGAGAAAATAGGCCCAAACAACAGAAAATCACTTAATTAGTAAGATAATCATCATCACAGAAGGTAACTTGGCTGCTTTCTGGTTATTGTATTAATATCTCATCTCTGCAAGTCTCATTTACTCCCTAGCCTTGTTCATATCATCTAGAGATTCTTTGATTACCACAAGCTGATCATAGTGTTAAAACAGCTGTTGCTATCTTCATTTAAATTTTATTAGTGAGTAAAAGTCATTCATCTCATGCAGTCAAGTTTTAGACATTTTTTAAGAATAGCTATTTAAAATGAATTGTCCCCAGAATTCTTAAACTTTTTAGAGTTTTTCAGTTGTGAAGATTTTTGAACTTTTGTATGTTTCTCAGTATAAAGCCCTTTCAGCTGAGAAAACATTTGTGCTAGGTAACTCAAAATTAATATTTCAGTTCTTCAGTCCAGCTATCTTCATAGTTGCCATCTCTTTTTATCTCTTAAGCAGGATTTTAATAATGAAATAAATGTACTATATCTCCCTCTTTTTCCCTAGGTGAGTCTTTTACTTAGGGTAACTGATGTAAAAATTAGTGAAATTCAGCCGGGCTCGGTGGCTCAGCCTGTAATCTCGCGCCTTTGGGAGGCTGAGGTGAGTGGATTGCCTGAGCCCGTGGGTTTGAGACCCGCCTGGGCAGCGAGACCTCATCTCTACAATAAATCAAAAAATCAGCCGGGCGTGGTAGAGCATTCCTGTAATTCTGGCTACTTGGAAGGCTGAGGCGGAAGGATCGCGGAGCCCAGCAGGTCGAGGTTGTGGTGGCCGGGAGTGGCCACTGCACTCCAGTCTGGGCGACAGAGTGAGACTCCAACTCAAAAAAAAAAAAAAAATTAGTGAAATTCTCTCCATATCAGAATATATCCTTCTGCTTTAACTTCGTTTTAATTAGGCAGGATTTTAAACTGTTCATAATGAGGCATTGAGATTAATGAACCCTGTTCTTTCAACATCTGGCCTATATACTCATGTCCTCCACTATTGCAGTTGAACGCCATGGCCAACCGAGCAGCTGGGAAGGGGTATGAAAACGAAGACAACTATGCCAACATTCGCTTCAGGTTCATGGGCATTGAGAATAATCATGTGATGCGGAGCAGCTTGCAGAAACTCTTGGAAGGTACAGGGATTTTATCTTGGCTGGGCCGGAGGCCATAACTTTGCATTATTATGTAAACAAAAAGCATGCCTGATTTAGGGTGGAACATAAAAGCAAGCAGGTGAGCAGAGTCAAGTGGTAAGGTGTTTAACTATAGTATGAATCTAGTTTACATAGTACTTAATTATAGCATTATTGGTCAGGCAGAGGGACTGAGTTATTCAGTTACATAACTCAGTAAAGTCCATCTGGTTCTAGTTGGCTCTAATTTCTACTAGTTGGTGTGGAAATTATTTATCTCTGTAGAATTATAGAGGTTGGTGTTCAGGAGTGGGCAGACCAACATAAGTATTAATGAATTTGGGATTCATTTCATCATCCTCAAGGTAAGAAATCATCTTATTTAATCTGCTATAAGGATTCAGTCTGATTTTATCATTGTGCTGATGAAGAAGTTGAATTTAATTTAGACCTCAAAGGAATAAAGTTGATATCAGACAGTAATCAAGGTCAGAATGGGGGCAAAGTGGGATTTGGACCTTACAAGACTCTTGGGTTTAGAACATTTTCCCTAAAATCACTGGCCAGGATTCTATGAAGTGGTGTGCCAATTCAGGTAGATATAGTGAAAACTACTTTCTTTAGTGAACTCCCTGTTCTTCCTCTAATTTTGTGCTGGTGTAGTCTGCCAGGACCTCTTCTTTACACCATCCTTTTTAGGTCGTGTTTCCTCAGTCTGTATTTCTTTTAGTATATATTAGTGTCCCTTTTCTTTAAATGTCTTCCTTTCTTTTTTGTCCCAGAATATTTTGTAGGAGGAGATAATGTTTTACAGATTGCCCTCTGCTGGTTAACCAGTGCAAAGTGCATACAAATTAACTGATAATTTTTTTTTCAACCTATTGAGACAACAAAGGGCTGCAAGGTATAGGTAGAAGTGTGGGAAAATAGGCAGATGTTAAGGGCCTGCAGAATTAGGATAGATAGGTGGGATTAGAATGGTGATCAAATGTGTTTTCCAGTCAGAGGAGATGTGTTTTCCTACAGATGCTGAGTCAGTCTCCTGGCTCTTTTGAGAGATTTCTGAGGATTTGGGGGTGAATTTTACAACTTAAGAAAGCAAGGGCCCAGACTAGGATATTTAGTGGGCTTTAGGTCTAGTTCTGTCCATGACTCGCTGTGTGGTTTCCAATTAACCATGTAAACTTTCTGTGCCTCAGTTTTCTCATTTACAAAATTGGGATCCAGTTTCTTACCTTTCTTGATGGATAAACTGAGGTGATTGTGAATTTCAATCTCTGCTTCCTTTTCTACCTTAGTTTGTGAATTGAAAACTCCAACAATGAGTGAATTTCTTAGTGGCCTGGAGAGCTCTGGGTGGTTGAGACACATTAAAGCTATTATGGATGCTGGAATTTTCATCACAAAGGTAATAATCAGGACTTTTGAGAATTTGCACTGACTTTAATTATGAGATCTCTTGAGGTAGTAGTGTGCCATGGTAGAAAAAATATTAAAAAGAAACCTTGTTTCTGGATTTAGTTGTGTCACTAATTCACTGTGTGCTCTTGGACAAATTGCTTTCCCTCTCTGGGCCTCAGTGTCTCCATCTGTAAAACAAGGTGATTGGGCTAGAATTAGAATCTAATGATATATTTTGGGTAGCCCACAGAACTCTGGAAATATGATTATCTTCCCTCTTGGAAAAATGCACGTAAGAGGAGGGACCCCACAAAAAAATGGAATTATTTTTTGGAGAGTGGGTGCCTTGTAGTACAGGCTTTCCCTGTTGTCAGCTACCATTGTTATGAGAGGCTGTGTTTGGCTTCAGTGAATGTTTTTTGGAGATTCTTTCGATGCATTTGCCCATTTTTATGATGGGTGATTTATGAGTGCACCTGCCCACATCGTGCTGAATGTTCAGCAGTTTTTGACCAAAAATGGCATGGCCCCTGTGCCCCACCCTCCCTATTCACCCTGTCTCACCCTAAACAACTTTTTTTTTGTTTCCCTGGATGAAAAAAGTCCTCAAAGGGAAACGTGGAATAGATGAAAGAAAAAATGGCAGAAGCAGTAAAAGACATCAAAATTGACGAGTTCAAAAATTGTTTTGAGTAGTAGAAAAAGCATCTCCATAAGTATAATGCATCAAACGGACAGTACTTTGAAGGTGACTGAAGTTTAAACATGTAAGAATAAATATACAATCTTTTAATAAGTAAATTCTGGTATTTTGGGGTCTCCCCTCTTTATGAATACAAGCAGAAAATGAACCTCAATTTTAGGGGGTCCATAGACCTCTGGACCTCAGGTTAGAAACTATTCGGTGATTTCTGATGGTCATTCTAGTTCAGTTTTTCTCTGATGTATTTTTGTGTCGATTCTAAGTATGAAATAAATGCAGAGCTTGTGTATCTCTGGGTTTTCAGATCTCTGAGTACAAAGCAGACCTTTTTTTTTTTTTTTGGTTTACTTCTTTGTATAGGTCTGCCTCTGAATGCAGTCTAGGCAGGCTTCCTTACTGTATTTATGCTGACTCACTTGTTTTCTGACTTCTAGGACCACAGCCTTTGTATCCTTTAAGTGATTTTTTTTAAAGGAAATTCAGAGTGTACATTATCTCATTTTGGGGTTTTATTTTTATATATTACTACATGGGAACTCTCCCTCTTAATCGCACCCACATTATTTGATAGAAGTAAAGGAGAAAAGGAGAGAATGACTTTTCACCCCTCTGCTCAGTTGAAGGCAATGATATATATAGCCTCTGACTTAAAAGGCTTGAAAAGTGTGTGTAATTAACTACCTTAAGTAGACAGTCCTAATACTTTTTGCTTTTCTATTCCTGTTGCCTGCACTTTACATTGTAATGTGTTATTAATGTTCACTCTATGATCCTGTCAGTTGTTTCAGGCCCACTGTTCTAACCATTCTTTGTACTGTTACTTTTTCATATGTCCTATACCCATTCATCTATATTCCCTTTCTGAAACCAAATTTACAAGACCAAAGAGGGTGAGGAGAGAGAAGAGGGAGATTTGATAAGACATTACAACCTCATAAATATTGGTTGAATTAAAATGAGTGGACCAAAATGATGGGCTTGGATTAAATAATGATTCCACATTCCCCATCTCTGCTACTACCTATTCAGTATCCCAAGCTTGAGAACCCCAGTCAGTCTTGAATCCTCCCTCTTCCACCATCATCTGGCAATTGCCATGTCCTATCAGTTCTAATTCAAAAGTATTTTTTAAATCTTTCCTTTTCTTCCTAGTCTCTACTGCTATTTCCCTAGATAAGAAAGTCACTATCTGTTGCCCATAGTACTAAAATAACCTCCTAACTGCTTTACTTATCTCTAATAGTTACTTTCCAGTTTGGTGACTAAATTGCTACTAAAGTCATTTTTCTTGACTGCTTCTCATCTTGTCACTTAAAGCTCAAAATCCTCCAATGGTTCGTTATTCTATTGCCCATAAGACCCTGTAGTTTGACATTCAGTCTTTCACAGTCTTTCCCCAACTTGACTGTAGTGGAGTTCTTGCTGTTCTCTTATAAACTATGCTACTACTTTTTTCTCTCTGTTTCTTTTTCTAATCTCTATTTACTTATTTTTCTCATTACAAAAGCAATTCATATACATTATTAAAGAAATAAGCATTTCAGAAATATGTAACATAAAATGTAACTGTTCCCCATAGTTTGCCCCACAACACACATACATCACTCTTTATTGTTTAATGTTTATGCCTCTTGATCAGCACTATCCATTTGAACTTTGTGATGATGGAAATGTTCTATATCTGTACTGTCTAATACAGTAACCACTAGTCGCGTATGGTAATTAAGCATTTGAAATGTAGCTAGTGAGATTGAGGAACTGAAATTATAATGTTATGTAGTTTTAACAAATTCAAATTTAAATAGCCACAAGTGGCTAATGACTACCATATTGGGTAGTGCAGCTCTAAAGTTTTTCAACACATACACTTACTTTCTAAAGACAGGATCATACTATACCTACTGTTCTGTAACTGACTTTTTGTACTTAAGCATTTTTCAGGCCAGTTCAGTCAGTACTACCTCATTCTGTTCAGCAACTATATTATATTCCATTGTGGGAATTTACCGTAGTCCCCTACTGATGGGGAATTTAGTTCCCAATTTTTCACTAATGCAGACATTGATGCAACAAATGCCCTTAAACATATATCTTTAAAGAAGTGGTTTTTCTGAGTTAAAGAGAATGAATATTTCAAATTTTAATAGATGTGGCCAAATTATCCTTCAAATAGGTAGTATCAATTTTCTTTTTAAAATATATATATATATATAATTTTAAAGATGTGGGTACAATTCAGGATTAGGAATACAAGTGCACATCATACATACAGGTAAAGTCTTGGCCTCCCTTTGGTCCCCACTTTTCCTGGTTTGAGATAAGGTACCCTTATTGATGTTGTGTTCTCTCCCACCCCCACCCTGGCAGTATCACACTACTGCCAGTCTCTTTCTTTATAGTATTATGGTAAATGTTCAGGATCTACTTATAAGTGAGAACATGTGGTACTCTGTTCTTTGTTTCTGTGATAGATCACTGAGTATTATTGACTCAAAATCCATCCAAGTTGCTGCGAAATCCATGTTTGACCTTCTTTATGGCTGTGTAATATTTCATTGTGTATATGCACCACATTTTTTAAATCCAGTCTGATTTTGATGGGCAGCACGGTCGGTTCCATGGCTTTTGCTATTGTGAATATGCTGCAGTAAACATGTGTGTGCAGGTATCTTTTTGTGGAATGCTTTGAGTTCATCCAAGTATATTCCCAGTAGGGGGATTGCTGGGTCATATGGAAGGTCAATTTTTAGTTCTTTTAGAAATAGCCACATTGTTTTCCATAGAGGTTGAACTAGTTTGCATTCCCACCAACAGTGCAGAAGCATTTCCTTTTTTCTGCATCCTCACCAGCATCTGTTGTTATTTGTTTTATTAATGATGGCCATCCATACTGGGGTTAGGTGGCATCTCAGTGTGGTTTTGATTTGCATTTCTCCGATGATTAGTGAGGCTGAGCACTTTTTCATGAGTAGGTTGGCTGCCCATTTATCTTCTTTTAAGAAGTGTCCATTCATGTCATTTGCCCACATTTTTTTTGAGCTGGAGTCTCATTCTTGTCGCCCAGCTCAGGACCACCGCAGCCTCAACCTGCTGGGTTCAGGCCATCCTTCTTCCTCATTCTTCCAAGTAGCTAGAACGATAGATACATGCCACCATGCCCGATTAGTTTTTGTGCTTTACTGTAGAGAGGAGGTCTGACCAAGTTGCTCGGGCTGGTCTCGAACCCTGGGCTCAGGCAGTCCTCTCGCCTCAGCCACCCACAGTGCTGGGATTACAGGCTAAGCCAACGCGCCCAGCCTGCCCACATTTTAGTGGGACTGTTTTGTTTTTTTTTCTTTTCAGCACATTTGAGTTCCTTGTAGATCCTAGATATTAGACCTTTGTCAGATATAGATATTCAATTGGCAAATATTTTCCCATTTTGTAGGCTGTCTCCTCATTCTCTCTCTCTCTCTCTTTTATTTTTTTTTTTGAATCGGAGTCTCACTCTGTCATCCAGACTGGAGTTCAGTGGCACACTCACAGCCACCGCAGCCTTGACCTGCTGGGCTTAGGTGATCCTTCTGTCTCAGCCTTTCAAGTAGCTGGAACTACAGGTGTGTGCCACCACACCCAGCCAATTTTTTGATTTATTGTAGAGACAAGGTCTCACCATGTTGCTCAGGTTGGTCTCGAATCCATGGGCTCAGACAATCCTCTTGCCTTGGCCTCTCAAAGTGCTGGGATTACAGGTGTGAGCCACTGCACTCGCCACCCCCCCCATGGTTTATTTTGCTTTGCAGAAGCTTTTCAGTTTAATGAGCTACCATTTGTCAATCTTATCTCTTATGGCATGGACACCTGGGGTTTTGATTAGGAATTGGTTGCCTACTCTCATTTCTGCAAGGGTGTCTCCTGCATTTTCTAAGATTCTTATACTTTGAGGTTTTATGTTTAGTTCTTTCATCCATTTAGAGCTGGCTTTTGTGTATGGTGATAGGTAGGGGTTCTGTTTCAATCTTCTGCATGTGGTCAGCCAATTTTCCCAGGACCATTTACTGAGTAGATTCTCCTCTCCTCAGTAGTTGTTGGTGGAGGCTTTGTTGAAGATGAGTTGGTTGGGAAATTCAGGTTTTGCTTCAGGAATCTCTATCCTCTTCCATTGGTCTATATGCCTGTTCTTGTACCAATACCAGGCTGTTTTGATTACTGTAGCGTTATAGTAAAGTTTAAAGTCTGGAAGTGTGATACCTCCCACTTTGTTTCTTTTGATAAGGATTGTTTTTGCTATTTGTGGTCATTTATATTTCCATATGAATTTCTGT